GTGTGTTAATATTCTAATCTTATGCGAAGCAAGTGTAGCCGGTAAGCGTCCGGCGACCGAAAGTTAGCTTAGAGTGGTTCAGTCCAATTTAGAGATGTGCTCCGAAGCGAGAAGAGGTGTTTGAATGACGCTGCGTCGTAGTGCAAGCTACTTAAAGGGTGGGCGGATTCCCTGACGTGGTCGTCAAGATCACCAGCCAATCAGGATTGGCGTAATGAGATTGNGTTCTACCTGTTGAGTACTGATTTTTGGTGATTTTCGAGATAAGCATTTCTAGCAATACGGGAGTCTCAATATCCCATAGTGAGACATCGAACGGAGTGTTATGAATGAGAAATATAAGTTACTAACGTAACCCCAGTTCTCAGAGTAACATGAAGTGAGATGTCTCACCAGACAGCCCTTCTCGCTGAGGCGAAGCGAGAAGAGGTGCTTATTTTGAATGACGCTGCGTCGTAGTGCAAGCTACTTAAAGGGTGGGCGGATTCCCTGACGTGGTTGTCAAGATCACCAGCCAATCAGGATTGGCGTAATGAGATTGATGCTTCTGAGGCATTCACGGGGAGGCGCATCCCATAGTGAGACATCTCACTTCATGTTACTCTGAGAACTGGGGTTACGTTAGTACCCTATAGTTCTTGACTAACACAGGGCTGTTACCTTGTGTTTAGTCTGATTTATGTGATCCCAGAGAAGTGCTTTTATTGAACACTCTGCTTTTACTTTTCCTTCTGTTGAGCAATCGGCCACAAAAACCTGCCGTCTATTCCCATCTGCGGCGTCTGTGCTTTTAAAACAACATACCTGCCCATCAGCTGTGATGCAAAAGAGGAACCCACAAGGGGTCTACCTGCAACCACAGACTGTAAAGACTGACCTCCCAGTTTGAAACTCTGTCTGCTTCTTGGAACACACCGTCCATCAGTAAGTGCCTGGCTAGATTCCCTATGTATTCCTTTATTGCAAAACAGCTGAAAAGCCAGTTGTGTTGTAACGCTTCGTGACAAACCATAGCGTGTCTCAACAGACGGAGCGCAGCTTCTTGTGCTCATTGCACAACTTCATTCCTATAAAAGAAGAACAAAGTGTTTAGTTCAAGCACTTCTCTACTGAACACGGTATCACACACTTCTACAAGTATAAGGTATGCATCCCTCTCCGTACTCAATGCTTTCTTCTATTTTCAGTGAGTTTTTTCAATATTGTGAACCGTTTGATCCGTAAAATGTTTCTACAATTGTCCGTAGGTGTTAAAATGAGCATGAATGGTTGTCTTTGTTTTAATGTGTAACCGGTCCAGAGTGTTCCTCTCGCCAAATATCAGCTGGATAAAGATAAATAAATGCTTAAAAGTACTCGTGCATGAGCTTTGTGATATATCTTTACGTTCTACTGACAACAATGTTAGTTCTGAAAACTGAACATCTGTGTTTTTATGATGTAAAAAGATCACAATTATCCATAAAGTGTTTTTTCTCAAAATGATTTTGATGCATTTTGATTATAGACTGGAAAATGAAGGCTGCAATATTCACCATTCTCTTGCTGGTCATATATCAAGGTTTGTTTGTTTCAATTAAATATGAAGTGCTTTAGTAATCTCAATAAGAAGCATTACAACAGCAAAACAAATCCCACCTAGAAATTAGAATCACCCATGAGCAGTGCTTCTCAGTGGTCCGCGGACCACTGGTGTTCCGTGTACGCCCCCTAGTGGTCCGTGAATATATTGGTAAAATTTCACATTTGAAATTAATTAATTAATTTCAGTTTTCCCTACTCTCGCGGGAATATCTCCGCAATGGAGCAAGGTTAAGTTTCACTTTCGATTGCATGATATAGCCCAGCGCAACACCTTCGTCACCTGTTTGTACCATTTTCAGGCGATTTGTAATCTGTTCTAGAAAAACGATGTGTTTTTTGATATTTGTGGAGTTTGGTGGTCCGCGAGTGTTTTTTTATTGGTTAAGTGTTCCTTGGTATGAAAAAGTTTGAGAAACACTGCCGTAGAGCTAAAGATACTGACGATAATACATGGTAAATATAGTTTGATTCCTATATTTTGTATAGTATAATATGTGCTACTTTTGTACTCATGTCCACTACAAAACACTAATATGTGCAATAGTAACATTTGCAATTATCTGCCACTGCAGTACATTGATTATTTGTCCATCTTTGTTTCTTGTAGTTTGTTATTTAATTACTGCACTGTTAGCGTACAGTTATATTATTAGTGTTACTATTATTATTATTATGTTTATCATATATTTGTTCAACTCTGGCACAAGAATTTCCTTCAGGATAAATAAAGTCCTATCTCTTATCCTATAGAACTTTGTATTGGAGCAAAGTGAGTCTTAGGCACACTGACGTACAGGTAGTAACAGGATGTGTGTGTTGTTCCAGGCGAGGCCCTGAAGTGTAACTTCTGCTCCTCAAAGGAGAGTGACCTCTGCACCCCAACCAGCACCCAGACCTGCTCAGGGGCGGACAACGCCTGCGGCGCCGTCATTCTGACCGGCGCCGTCAGTAAGTCTGACGTGGTGTAAAGTAACTGAGTACATCTACTAAGTACTGTACTCTTTGAGGGACTTTTACTTTACTTAATGCCTTTTGTTTGATCATTCCAGGCGCTTCTTTCCGTCAGTGCATGAACATGGTGGTGTGTCAGGGCTGGATCTCGTCCCCCGGGGCGTTCGCCATATGCTGCAGCACCGACCTCTGTAACTGACCCCCGTTCTGTCTGAGAGCTTCCTCTGCTGGCTTCATATCACTGTTACACCGCTGCCATGCACATCACAGTCTGTTTGCATTTTTAAATGGTATTAAAAAGATGAGTGGTATTTGTAAAAATCACATTGTACTTTTTGTGTGTTACAACTGCTTAGTGACACTAGACGGAAGCAGAGCAGAGCATGGAGAGTCCTGCATCTACCAAAGAACAGACTTAATCAATAATAACGTAAACAACTACACACTATGTTCTGCCTTACCTGCACCATACACCATACTGTATCTCACAGCACACTGTATACATGAGTAAACAATAGAAAACCTCCCTAAATTAGGACCTCTCAACACAAATCTGAGAGGAACGCCATAACTTTGCACATGCGATGTGTGGATTTCCTCAGGTTTGGATTCTTAGCGAGCACGCTGCAGTAGATTTTTACATTCATTTGTATCAACTTCAGGCCTTTCCTATCTTTGAACAATAAAAAAAGACAAGAGTAGACTGAGATTTCATTGATAATGTACAGGTACACCGCTGTTGGAGCGAAACAACCAATGATTCTCAGACGAGACAACCAGAAGCTATTTGTTCTTGAGTAACCATGACAGATAATCCAGTGATTTAACAGTAGCTTCCATCAGGAGTGTTGATGGAGAGAATGTGGACTTCCTCCTTCTTACCACGCACTCAGTAAAACCATGGGAGATGACCAACATGGTTCTTTACGAGGTGTACCCCATTAAGTGGGGCTTCCCTTGTCTAACAAGTGCCTGGAGCGCTGTGGAAACACCGTGTAGCTGTCCATGTGCAGCCTGGGGAACCCCACACCGTATACTGGGTCTCCAGCAGAGAGGAAGACACGCACACTCACATCATCCACAGAAGCAATGCGCAACACATGAGGGGAAACCCACAGCAGAGTTGGATTCCTTATATACTTATCACATATTTCGCTCAACTATATGCGAAATCAGAACTAAAAAGATGTATACAACGTAGCATCAACAAAAAAACCTTGGTTCGGACTTCTGGGTTGAAAAGCCCCTAAGGTTCAAGGTCTGAACTGTTATCATACACATTTAGGTTGTTAGGTTTAGAGTATTTCATCACCTTTTTTGTCTTTCTTTGCCCGACCACGACCCCGTGGCTACAAAGGGAAATTGGATCCTTTTATAGGGCTCAATCTATAGAAATCTATCCCTAACCTAGTCAATGGGGACAAGACCTACAATCTTGATCAGATGAAGCCTGTATCTACGTTTCCTTTCCAGATTGAACTGTGTTTGACATTCTGATAATAAAAAAAGGTCAGTATTAGCCCCAGCAAACTGGCAAATACAACGGCACACAATGAGTCAATTACCCTCAGCCACAGTGCGTTGTTTTTATGGGTGCAGCGGTAAGTCAAGCCATCAGCGGGGCGCTCTCAGGGATTTTCTGCTTCCTGTTGTGGGTGGACCACCAGAGCATCAGCTCCACGCAGATCTGGACACGCTCACTTCATAAACACCTTATTTTAGGAATGCCCCGGGCTAAATAGAAGCATTTGGTTGGAAATACTATAGTCTAAGAGAGGTGTAATGAACCTGCCTCTCTACTTGCATCAGGTAAAGACTCATTAGGCCAGAGAGAGTACTATGAAATCTGACAATGAGCACCACAGTCTGCGCGCTGCATGCACTGTGGTTGGAAACATAGTCACCTCGTTAACACCGCATGATGCTCCAGCAGCAGAGCCCCGTGTGCCAGGCAACCTACAACCCAGGGAGGATCTCTTCAGAGTTTCCGACACGTCATGTTTTTCTCCTCGCCTTGGGCAAGGAAACCGGCAGTTCATGAGATATATGTTTGTGGTTACTTTAATAGAGTCCAATAAAAAGTGTTGTTTTGCAGCTACCACTGAACGCTAGAGCCGGGGTTCCCTGAAAACACACCGCCTGTGTCCACCTGAGAGTGGTTGCACTGAGGAAACACTCTCTCTCTCCTGGAAGTATTCCATGAGGATGCGTAAAAATCACAGATTCCCTCGCATGAATGTTTCCACTGCGTTAGAGAACAGCAAGAGGTGTGAGAAGGTTTACCCGAACATCTGGCCTGGAAATATGCTATTAAGCTTCTGAACTATTACAACAAGTATTCGGAATATTGTAGAAGCACTATTACACATACATTCTTATGTCAATCTCAGTATAAAGTAGTCTTTTGATAATGGGTTTCACCTCCAGTATGGGTTCCAATGTACCCCTAAAAGGATCCTGATAAACAGAATTAAAATTAGAAAAAGCGTATGATATTTACGTATTTTCTTCAATAAAATGATCCTTCAACAAATCCATGGTCATATTTTGAGTACGTTGTCTCAGTTCTTGTACTCAATGACAATAAAGTTGGCTCTAATCTCATATTACTTCCTGTTCCTGTCAGTTTTAATATTCCTACAAATCATTTATGAAACTGAGCTAATATTGTTGTCTGCAGAGGTGGAAGAAGTACCCAGATCTTGTACTTAAGTAAAAGTAGAAGTAAAACAGTCTAGGAATACTCTGTTATAAGTAATATCCTGCATGCAAAATAAAACACTGCCAGGTAGTTTGTGTATTTACTCAAGGTGTAACTAATTAAGTGTTGATTTCGTATCATTAATCCCAATCTGCAAAGCAACTAAAGGTATCAAATACATGTAGTGGAGTCGAAGAACAAAGTAGCAACACATTAGTACAGTATCTCTGAAATTGTAGTTAGAGTAGTAGGTTCAGGCTCACTGAAGCCTCTCAACACCCTGACCTTAGTGCACGCCCGGATGCAGTAGCTCCTCCCCCGGCTGTGTACTTCCAGTATATGTAGACTTCCACGCGACTTCTCCTCACTCCCAGCTTTCCCAGCCTCTCTGCAGCACACCAGGAACAAGATGCTGGCCCCGAGCAGCCTTACCGCCAGTCTGTCCCTGTGGATTATTTTGCTCTGCAGCTCCGCAGTGGTCTGCAGGAAGTCGCGGGGGGGTCCTGATGATGAGGAGCTCTGGTCGGAGAGCGTTTCCAGGGCGACGTGCTCCTCGCGCTGTCTCAGTCTGCACACACCGCTGCAGGTAAGCACGCTGACGTCACACAGCTTCAATTAGGCAAAAACAAGCTGCTCAATCATAGAACAATGGCACTGTAAGTTAATAAAAGCAGACACAAACACTTCTATGGTGTTTGAGGGTTTGTAGGTGTAAAACATTGAACATTTAATATTAGACATACAAAAGAGTATTCCTTTAACACATGTGTACAAGCAAATGTTCTGTAAAGTGTAATTTCAAACAAAAACCTGACTGTTATTTCAATCCACACTGTCAGGGATGTAATAATGGTTACTGTATCTCAAAAATGAATAAAAAAAAGATTTAGCCTTTGCAGGACTCACAATGTGAAAATATATTCCACAGTAAACACATGTACCCAGTTACCTTCTATAAGAGAACTGGGTACATGCAGAACACTTTAAAGCATTTGTGGAGAATGCTTTAAAGTGTGTTTAAGAATACCCACTGACTTAATAATTAATTAGGGTTTTGGTTTAGATTCTAATGCTAAATATCACACAAATATGAACAATTTAAAATAGTCTTTAGGGTCAGTTATTCATACAGATCCCTCGTCTGTCAGCAACTATCTCTCACACACACACACACACACACACACACACACACACACACACACACACACACACACACACACACACACGACACACACACACACAACACACACACACACACACACACACACACACACACACACACACACACACACACACACACACACACACACACACACACACACACACACACAAACACACACTCTCCTTCTCTCTTGACACACACACACACACACACACACACACACACACACACACACACACACACACACACACACACACACACACACACACACACACACACACACACACACACACACACACACACACACACACACACACACACACACACACACACACACACACACACACACACACACACACACACTCTCTCTCTCTCTCTCTCTCTCTCTCTCTCTCTCTTTGCTTTGCTCCGGCCTTCAGAGTGATGGGGACAGCGTTCCTGTACACTCACTTAGAGCGATGTGCAGTGCACAGAGTGATGCTCCAGTCCAGGGAACGGAGAAATCAGATTCAATCATGAATGCTTACTGTGCTGTTGTGATTCCCCTATCCCCTATAGCTCCTCTAAACCAAGAAGTGATGCATTATTCCTCCTGGATTTGGCCCCAAGTCCTCAAAACTGCACCTCAGACATTCAACATCGGAAGCATCACTCTAATGGTTATCTATCTATCTAGCTGTGGCACCCCCAAAGTTAGCCTCTGCCATCTACCGTGCTGCTGCCGTCTCATTTCACTTGACCAGTGATCCTTGATGTGCATTCATTACAATTCCAGCAAACAGCCTCAGGCTCTCAGCAGGGAGCCATGAAGGACACCAAGTCCCTCAAACTGGGGAGGAAAACAGTCATTTGTCTTTTTACAGAAGAAAAAAAACTGTTGTTCGACATAAAATGTAGACTCTGCAGTTCTCTTCACAAGCTGTAATAGTATTACTAAAGGACTATACCAAGGCAGTGAACATGTATTATTCAACACTTATTCTAATTAACTTTTGCTTCTATTTTCTTCTTTTCATTGTCTTTTTCAGAATAATGGTTCCTTGGGCCGGTGTCATAATCATAAACAGTGCGCTAAGGTAAGTAACATAAGATTTCAGAATGTTTTTCGAAGCACAGCACTGCTACACTTTTCATCCAATCGACTTCAAATGTAGTCAGTACCATCTTGAGACCAAAAGTGATTACAACTTTATTGTTCATCGATCGGCATTGCTATAGCGAGAAAGCAGATTTCCCAACAAAACTGGAATTGGTGCAACTCCAGCGTACATTCTGCCAATATGCTCCAAATGTCTCTTGGATGATAAGCCTGAAGACATGTACACACCAATATACACTCATATTAAGGTTCTTAGATGTAAAGCCACTTTACCCCATGTGCCAGAGTTGATTAGCAACACAGCACAGTTCAATTCAGCGCTTTAGAAGAGCTGAAGGTGGCACCACTGTAGCATTGAGGCTTGGAGGGACAATGTACAGAGCTTAAACCTTAGACAATTAGCATCGAGGGTGGTGTAGCGAGCATCACTTGGCAGCCATTAGAGGAGTTCAGTACTCCCTACAGCCTTGTTGTGGTGTTTGACTCAGAGCCAGACCTGTTTTTTCTTCTACTCCCCAAAACTCACATTTTTAAACGTATAAAAGTACTAGGAATAATATGCTTGCGGTCTATTCCTTGGGGAAAGCCGATGTCTTGTCTGTGGATGTTTACAGACCTGGAACTCTTTCATAGACAGTGTTAGTTGTTGAAAAAGGAAGCCAAACACAGGGCTTGCTTCCTCTCCGAGGAGTTTGTCTGGGCAGCAAATTCAATGGAGTTGTTCGCTCCGTTATCTCTGGTTGGTCATGGAGGAGCACCAAAGATTTCCACTGCAGCGACATACATGCAAGTCATGTTCTGTCCCCTAAAAGAACAGCTGGGAACCCCAACCTGAGAGAAAAATGTCTCTGCTGTCTTCGCTACTATTTGGGACTTGGTTGCTTTCTCAAATTTCTTTCAAACACATCACCAAGTTACCCCCGAGACAGCTTTATCTTCAGCATAGTGGAATGGTATGCCTGATTTGAGCTTGAAATGGGGCAGACAATATAAGTGAGCGTCAGTCTGGATCAGTGGACAAGTCTTCCTGGAGCCCCGGGGGGGCGATGGCAGGGCTGGCACAGTCTATCAGTCATGCTTCAAGGACTCTCCATTGGATATCAGGAGGATTCACACACTGTTGTCCAATTGGCAGCAACTTCCTTTAAAACATTACAATAATAGAGCTGATCACAATAGAAGATATGCTTGGTAACGGTAAGCGTTGAATGCAAATGTGTCGGGTTAGGTACCTTAAACAATACCTGACTAAAGTGTAGCCTGGTGCTCCACATTTTATATGACCTCAAACGATCGTTAAACTGGAATTAAACAGAAATTAAAGCACATCTGTTCACCCAACTATGAAATATAAAGTGTACTTTGTTGGTCACTTTGGAAAAAATTGGCTTGTGAATGAATATATTGGAAAACCAGACTTTTAGTAACCTAAAGTGGACCTTTATGAGTCCCCACTGTGACTGTTTTGGATTAAGAAATATTATTAATATTATGAATGCACTTATATCGTTTTTCCAGGAATTACGTATCCAAACTCCTTGGACGTATTTTCTCTTTTGATCGTAATAAACACAGTCTGTTCAGAGTTTACAGCACTTCTCTAACTTTCTGACAACTTGCGCGTCCTTGTGATGCTACTGTACTCCCCCACCCCCCCCCCCCACTGTGTCTCACTACAGCATGAAATTACTTCAGTGTACACTCGCTCCCCTGGGCGGCCGCTGCTTACTGGTGCAGGATTCAGCTTTATGGTATAGAGGGCGATGCTGGTAATTGGTGACATGCTCCAGAAACAGCCCGAGAACAACATTTATTAGATTTAGGTTACTTTTTAGTGCGTAGCTAAATATATGGAAGCACCATCCATTTCAGATTACATATACACTGTCCTTTTACTCTTGGTAAATATCAAACAAATAGACTCACCTAAAGAAAATGTCCTTTAAAGAATCTCCCTTCTCCTATCTGCCTGTAATGTGTATCACAGCTTACTCTCATTGCTTTTCCTTCACAGTGTCTGGAGCCCTGCAAAGATTCCTGGGAGATGAAGAGGCAAAGTGACTGCAGAGAAATGTGTGAGGTAAACTGCAACGCTCTATACTTTATGTTTACTAGGAGCTGGGGGTAACATAATAATAAAAACGTTATGTTGAAGTATGGATTCAATTTAAAATCGGAAAATGTGCAGGCAGTCAAATTTAGGTCCAATGCATACACCTCAACTTTACTCATTAGTTTCTTGCACAAACACATTTGATGATTGGTGTACATTAACATTGGATTATAGTGGTCCACATTAACATTGGATAATAGTGGTCCACATTAACATTGGATAATAGTGGTCCACATTAACATTGGATAATAGTGGTCCACATTAACATTGGATAATAGTGGTCCACATTAATATTGGATTATAGTGGTCCACATTAACATTGGATAATAGTGGTACACATTAATATTGGATAATAGTGGTCCACATTAACACTGGATAATAGTGGTCCACATTAACAATTAAAATGATTAAGGCCAACAAGATACCCAGCCTATGATGCTAACCGGTCGCCCTCCAACCCTTCTAGCGAGTATTTCCCAAGAAGCACTGGGAGTGTGTGACCAGCTGTGAATTCCTTCAGTCTGTGTTGGCCGTGAAGCAGGGCATGTGCCCCCCTCCAGAGAGAGCCAGCGGCTTCGCAGCTGCCTGCGTGGAGAGTTGTGATAACGACAGAGAATGCTCAACTCAGAAGAAATGCTGCTCCAACGGCTGCGGGCATACGTGCCAGTCCCCAAAAGACCTCTATAAGGGTGAGGAGAGCCATAACAATGTGCCGAAAAGCATGTCTGCAGCATGGCATTGATCTTTGACGAGTAATATCATATCATGTCTAATGACAGAATCATGTTTGTCTCCCAGGCATTCCTCTGAAGCCGAGGAAGGAGCTGGGCTTTGAGGAGCTCCCCTCCGGCGAGCTGGAGGTCCGTTGGTCCTCCCGCTTCAACATCTCTGCTGAGCCGGTGGTCTACATCCTGCAGAGGAGGTGGAACTTTGGCATCCAGCCCAGCGAGGACACTGCCACTGCCTGGCAGGTGGTTGCACAGGTCAGTTCCAATGTATTGTTTCTCTATTATATCGCAACTGCACTCATTGTAATGTAGTTCAGGTGGTCCTCTGTGTTATTCTGTAACCCAACACTGCCTCTGATTGATCACAGACCACAGAGCAGGGCGCGAGGCTCTCTGACACCCGGCCGGGTCGCTGGTATCAGTTCAGAGTGGCAGCCGTGAACAGCCACGGGACCAGAGGTTTCACCACGCCCAGCAGACACATCCACTCCAGCAGAGGTCAGACACATCCTCTGTGTGTGTGTAATTAAGTGTTTATTTGTTCTTGAGAAAAGCCAGTACCCTTAAAAGCACAAGCTGTATTGAAAGACAAATACCCTGTGATTGCTCCTGGATGAATATTAACCTCCCCCCTCCCCCTCAGACCCCTCCAGTCCACCGGCTCCCTCTGAACTCAGAGTCTCCAGTATGATCTTCGGCAGTGGCAGGACCGTTTTGACCCAGCTCCAGTGGAGCATGCCCGCTGACCTGGATGTTCCCGTCCACAGCTACAAGGTCAGCTGGAGCTGGACCGCTGCGGGACAGCCCCCCCCCTTATTCCTGACCAAGAGGAGGAAGACAGTCAAAGAGGTGAGGACTGTTCTTCATCTTATTCCAGCGCCTTTGTGTTATTCCAACTGTCTTAAGAAACAGAATCCGCTCCTGTCTATTTTTTAACAAGGCAGGGAGTTCAATCATTTGAGTTTATATTCTTTTGGCAACACAAATGACATAATAGACTAAATCAGCAATTGGACTTCTCCTACTGCGTGTGTGTGTGTGTGTGTGTGTGTGTGTGTGTGTGTGTGTGTGTGTGTGTGTGTGTGTGTGTGTGTGTGTGTGTGCAGGCCCAGGTGGAGCTGGACAGCCTGCGGGCTAATAGGAGCTACAGTGTGGAGGTCCAGGCTGTTTCCTACTGGGGACAAAATCAGCTCAAAGGCCCCCGAGCCGTACTCCACTTCAGCACGCGGCGCTGTACGTGTTATACTTCTTCCTATACCTCTAAGGTTTTTTATAACAGTGTGATGAAGTGGTTAGCATTCTTAAGTGATCCTAAGTGTATATTAAACACAATGAACCCTTTGTCATTTGGAGTTCAATCCGTTGAATTCTATAGTTTCTTGTCTGTTTTATAGCCAAAGGTACATCCAGACTCCCTGGAGGTGGCAGTCTGGATGTGGGGATGCCATTCTACCAGGAAGGACAGCTCCGGGTTCATGTGTACTGGCAGAGCAGCACGGGTACGTACACATGTCTGCAGAAAAATTAAAGAAGCAAATAGTCTTCCTCAAACACACATGTGGTAATATGATAGCATCATTGGGTATAATTGTGAAACTCTCCCCCTTTATTGAGTGTGTTCTCTTTGTTCCTGTAGATCCCTATATTGAATCCTACAGAGTCCAGTGGGAACCAGAGTACTGTGGACAGAACCAGACAGGACCTGGAGAGAAGACCAGCACACAGGTAACCCCGTCCCCTTAAACATGGATGCCAAGTACATGATGTAAATCGTACTTCCAATAACCAACTGTATATTGTCAGTGGTTGATAGTTTGAAAATAAAGAATGAAGAGAATGTAGAGACCTCATGGTTGCATTTGTTCTGTCTGCTGTAGGAGAGCTTTGTCAGCCTGCAGGGTCTTCTCTTCTCCTGTAAGTATAAAGTCGTCCTGCAGCCAGTCAGCCAGAAGAGCCAGATTCTGTCAGAGAGCACCAGCTTCTTCACCCCCTCCTGTGCCTCCATCCAGGCCAAGAGCCCCAAACCCATCAGCTGTCCCGGAGATACAGGTGAGGTCATACATGATGAGAAGCCATGGATCATCTTAAAAACACATAAATAAGTGTCTTACCAACCCTCTCGTCTTCCTCCTCCAGCAGCGTCCCCTCACAGAGTCCTCTTGAAGGCAGCCAACCTCACCGCCTCCTTCGAGCTGCGGGCGGGAAACGTGACGGCCGTCTTCAGCTGGGAGGTGTCGGCAGCTGAGCCCCACCAGCAGCTCACTGGGTACCAGGTCACATGGGCGGAGGTCATCCCCCCCACCGGACACAACTACAACCAGCTGCCTCACAGCCTCATCTCTCAGTCTCAGATCCTGCCTCCGGTCAGTGCTGATAGTCACGCACATATATTGAGTTCAGCTAAGGTTGAGGACACCAAACTCATGTCCTCTCTCCTTTCCTTCAGGACGGTAATGTTCTGGTGGTGTCGGGTCTGCATCCGGCCAGTTTGTACCGGCTGGAGGTCCAGACAATCACAGCAGGGGGTGAAGGGCTCGCAACCAGCAGAACCTTCCAGACCCCCGGATTGCAAAGCACACGGAGGCACAGTAAGAAAAACAAACACTATCCTTTTGTGGTTAAACTTTAACGTTTTTTTTCTCCACTTTCATAAAAAGTACTTGTATAAAGTATATCTCGTTTCCCTCATTCAGGACCCAGGCTGAGGAAACATCACCAGCAACCGCCAATCATTGAGAGGCACTGACAGCTGACAGCCGATCAGCCGGCAAGAACCGAGTACCTGAAACTCAGGAGAATCCACAGAACACTGATACGCACGACAAATGCAGCTTCAGGAGCGAAATGAATTCTGCATCATAAATCTCTCCCTGCAGTGTTGGTTTATTTTAATTAAAACTAAACCACTGGTAAACTACGAGTAAGACGAGCTCTCGGTGCCAAGTGCTCAGTAATTAGAAGTATGTAGGTTTGATACCCAGCAATAATTCCCTGAAGTATTTGCATGTTAAAAAACTGAAATGTATAGCGTTCCTTCAATATATGTAAAAAAAATGGTGTCCTGCAACTGATTCATTTTGGAGAATGAATGACCTTGTACTGTAAATGTTGTATATACTGTCTGTATTTATTAATTGTGGTATATTTGTGTGTATCGACTGTAAGCATAACACAGCTGTCCTGTATGTGTGCTCAGTCTTCCTGTACAGAGTTGTTTTAAAACTACAGATAAATCCCATGTCCATACCGTATGTGTTCCTTCACTCTTGGGATGTATTCTTGAACCTGAACAATAGATGGCAGTATTCCTCCATACATCCACTGCTTTCTGTATCCATCAGACATGTGTGCAGGGAAAAAAGCATCATGACGAAAGTGGTCTCAGTGGTCAAAGCTTAGTAAAAACACACAATCAATCTGTTACACCTCACTGGATTTTATCCAACATTTCTTAAAAAGTAGGCAAACATTTAATTCTACTAAATTGTGTTCATAATAATGTTTAATGTATACACACTTAAGTGGTGGTAAGGACATTGTGTATCATTTTGAAAGAGTCTTCAACTTGTGATCTTAGAAAATGTTACATGTTGTTTGGCATAAGGTGGATTATAATAGCGGGCCTTGAACAAATACATTATGTTGCATGTAAAGGGCATGGGCCAATATAAAAAAACAAACAAGAATCAGTCATCCATTTGCATCATGAGAATCGATAAATCAAAAAAATTGCTGATAGTTGCATTTTCTTGGTCAATCAGTAGGATAGGGTTCGTTTCTATGTGGTCATATTATTTAAAAACATTACTTTGAGCAAAATGAATACATTAATTCATATACAGATATACTATATTACTCAATTTCTTTTTTGGTTGAGTCATTTGGCAGATGAACCAATAAGATGTGTTGGATGTAGCCCTAGATTTTATGTTATTGTAATGTTACGCTCACCTTTTAGATCCTTAAACGTGAAACAAACGACATACTATATTAATCCAACAAGGGTATATTCAAATCAAGCATAAAGACGTGAGAAGAGGATATGCCACAACTATTTTTCAGTTTCACTCTTGTCTTTATTTGTCATGTGGTGTCTGCTAACACCAACCCCCCCCAGCTGCATCACAAGTTTGTTTGGCAGTGTGGACTCTCCCCACATTCAGCAACGCTTTGAGCCTCTCACAGAAGGAATAATGTGCACAAATGAGCAGCAGTCTGTACACGCTGACAGTCCGTCAGGCTGAACGATGCATGGAAATGATGCTGTGAAGGCAGAAATCAGCAGAATGGAGGATTCTACATTCTCCTCGTGTATGGGTTGAGGTGCCGGCGCATTGTGCTTGAATTCATCCCCTTCGAACTTGTCCCGCTCCTTAATTGAAACCCCTCTCCTCGGGTAGGCATTACATTAACTCTTCCAGACAGAGGCTCTTATCAAAATGCAGCAGGCCTATTCGGGTAAATAACGGTCTGGCAAGGGGAAGGCGTTACAGCTGAGTGCATATAAAAAAGATATTAGATTCATTCTAATTATGCTCCGGGAAACATGGCGGATCGGCCTTTGGTACAGTAGAGGTCAGAGGTAGAAGTACGGCAGTGATTATGAAATCGATAGTTCTCCGCGGCGGGGCCAACGGATTGTAAAAGGCCAATTACCACGACAGCTGCCTCAGCAAGCGCAGGAGATTTTTCTACTGCGAGAATCTGAGAGTGGGAATAAGAAGTGGAGGAAACCTGACTGCAGCATTCCCCAGAAAGTGCGCTAGGCTAACCCACTTCTCCTAGGTCAATATCGTCCTGAGGCTAGAACGCCCTGGAAGCAGCTCCTCTGTTCTCTGGCCAACTTCACTGGAGGATCCCTTTGATGAGCACACATTCTGTCTAATTAATGAGGGGGGACACGGGGGTCTTCACCATTCCTAATTCTCCTGATCTCATTCAAATCCACTCTTCAAATGCCTTGCCCTAGAACTACGCCTAGAAAGGGGAGCTCCACGTTCTGCTCAGATTCCCGGAGGATCTGGTTTTGATGTGGGCAGAGGGTCTCTGGGTAAGCCAGGGGTTCCCCGCAGGGACCACCAATCGGCAAAAAACCCAAAGCAATGTCAGCATGTTGGGGCCAGGACTTCAATTTGATTCCATTTTACCTCGAAGTGCGCCTCCTGAGGACTTGCACACAGGATTTTTTAATTGGCTGATGTTCCCCTACTACTCAAATCCATTCCATTTCACTAACCAAGACAGAAATCAACAACTAGCTGAACAACATGAAAGACAAAGTTTCATCTTGCAAGGATAGTTACATTAAAATAAAAATATTAAATCTACGAGGAGAAATTCACGCTCCTCAGATCTACAAATGTATTATTTTATGTTACATCTCTGTCTCCGTCCCCCAGCCCATAATCAATGCATTAACTGCACAGCGCCGGGAGACGTGACTAATTCATCATTTTAGTAATTCATCATTCAAATGTATCTGCAGCACTGATGCAAACAGAGCTCTCACTGTACGACCACACACTGTCATCGCTATTCAGGGGATTTGTCATGGGCGTTGTGCTGAGTCATGTTTTCTGTGACAAACACTCTCTGTTGACACCACTACAGGTATGGAAGTGCTCCTAAAAAGACAATGCTGCAGGTATTCTGGATACGTTGGCCCTCTGCAAATGAGAGAACATTGGATAAACACGAGCCTCACGCTGACGTACTGGCCAGGAAACATTTGTATTTTAAAATGAAGAGGCAAGCAAGCTTTACACATTTCATTCGAGTAAAACCGACTTCACGGTATGGAAAATAGATGATGTGATTCCATCCTCTTGTTGGGCCATTATGGAACGGTTATATATAATCCCACTGAAAATCACATTATCAGTGTTGCTTCTGATGCATGTTCTACTTCTCGCTTAAATAAGGATTTTTTTCTCCATGGAAAGATCAGTATTTGTATATCATTAATCCCCCAAGTAGAGCTCGAATAGAATAATAAAGGGCGGGAGAGAAGAAGAAAGATTTGTATTCTTCTCTGCCGCCCAGTCAGTTTATTTTTCCATCTAAAAGTTAGGCCGTCCACCATCAAGTCCTAACATTGTTCAGGCTTTCATTGCAGCACGGACCCCGGAGAATTGATTCCATTTCTGTGTTTCTTTTATTTGTCATGAAACAAATCAAACTTGTATAATTCGGAGTGTTGGCCATCGGAGCTGAGTCTCTCTCCGGCTCCTCTGGGATCATCCAATCGTATAAAAAGGGACGGCTGTGTTTTTAGGCCATGGCCGCCTGCTGCTCTCATGCTGGGCCTCCTGCACCTGCTGACATACATACTGTATACATTCATAGGTTGAATAGCAGCAGGGCTTCTCGCTGCACATCTTATAAATATTCAATGGACAACAATCATTTTCAGGTTGCCCTATGCTCACTGCGAGTTTGGGTCGGACAAATAACTATCCCAATAACAGCTCCATGCAACCCTAATAGTTCCTTCCTTCACTGTTGAGTGAGTGACAGCTGGAGGCCTCCGTACACTGAAGAGCTATAGTGTTGTCATCTTGTGCTCGCTTCTCTCCTGCCCAACCGTCCGATAAAAATCTATGGGAAATATGGAACGGCCAAAGCCATTTTCAAAAAACAGCTCAGAGGACAAACAGCTGGAGTGGGTTAATGCGGCGTGTTGTCATGGTTTGAGTGCTATTGACAACCTGGCAGGTGCCGGCCGGGAAGAGAAACACTTCCATCGATCGGGGGGGCGGCCCCCGGGGCAAAGACGTGCCCCGTCACAGCTGGGCCATCTTGACCACTCAGCACAGCGCTGAGACCACCATTTAAATGGGAGGACAAGGGGCATCCCTCACTGTCCATTAACATCCCGAGGGGCCCGCAGTGAGGGTCATTAAAGGCAGCTTTACAGCCAGGGTTTGTAAACGGTGGGTCTCCTGCTGGAGGAGAATTAGTCATGAGTCAAATTATTTGGTATTAATCGTGCTGCAAATACGAGGGCGTTTTTAAGCCATTAGCATGTTGGGGTGAATGTTATCGTACTCTTCTGACAAACCTCATTCTTTTTGATGCGTGTCCTCCTGCCCATGCTGGGGGGTTTTCTCCCTGTAAAGCAAATGCCTTCGGGATGGAAAAACCCACGTTAGGAGAACCTTGCCCGCTTCTTGCCTGTTACGAGTCGTGTGTGATTCTGATAATATTGTGGTAATAATGATAATTATAAGGCAGCATAGTGCCGTGGGCTTCGACCTCAAGAACAACATTTAAAAAGTCCTCGTCTCATTTTGTTAACTGTGGGAATACGACTAACCCAGTTTCTCTGTGCTCATTGGAACAGCACACCCTGAACATGCTCCTAACTGGGATAAACAGCTTATTTATGTCCATGTCAACAAAGTCTATGAGAGAGCAACAAACTGGGGCAACGATTAGCCAATGTTTTTTTTAATTTAGTTTAGTCATGGGGGGGGCAACACAAAAGAGTCTTTACTATCATTGAGTACTCGGATATTTTGTACAATTGTGAGCAGCTAAACCTGTATGGAATCTCTAAAGGCAACAATAAAAATGTTTTTTGATGTTTTTTTCAACTGTAAAAATTGACCATTCAATTATTTTCGTACGGCGGTTCAAAGGGAATTTTGGCATGTTGTCGTAATACGAATTTCGGCCACAAGGGCGCACCCCTGCCCCATCCAACTGTAAAGGAAGGAATACGTTTCTGTACATTACCTTTGATTTTCTCAGATGGTAAAAGAAAAAAAAAAACATGATCATTTGTACAAAAAAGTTTTAATATGTTCTTAAATCACAAAATCAACTAAACAATTTGAATTCAATTTGAATCACCATTTGCTTTTGTTTGGCTTTCAGGGGTTCCGTAACTTGTGACTTTATGGCATATGAACAATAATGAAACAGAGAAAAACTCAAGGGCAGATACAGAGTGAGAGATACATGTGGGCTGTGGGCTGAGGTACTCTGAGACATTTTGTGTATTTTGTTGTGTTGGAAGAGGGAAATGTTGCTCTCAGCACCTCACACTGACGCCGCATACATTATTCAGAAAATCAAGGGCGACCAGCTCTCCTGACGTGCAGCCAGAGGCACTTTATCGAACCAAGGCAACCCTTTACTGCATCATTTGCCTTCCTTTAAATGTCTGTATTCTCCAAACTGTATATTTGTATTCCATTTCCCATTATTGCGTCTCTGTAAAGTGGCGTACCGGTCGTCCTCATGGTGCTGATGTACGGCGATGGAAGAGGCGTTTTGTGGAACACTTGTTCACACATGTTCTCCTTGCTTCAATGGAGGCTCTAAGCCACACAGTGTATGCCTCAAAAGAGGAGAAGATTAACAGTGGGAGATAAAAAGATTGGGAGAGAGTGTGCAGACCGTGGAAATGAGATGCTGATGCTCTGTTAGCTCATTTGTCACTGTTCTCATTCGCAGGAAAGTCGCTGTAAAGAATTCATGGGCTCCTTTTACTTTACATTTCTTTCTGCATTAGATCACTATTGACTCTCACACAGAAGAGAGTCTTTGAGAGAGCAGTGTGATGTCGTCTGAGGCAGAACGTCTGCTGGCAAAGGCTGGTGGAGACCATGGTGGAATAAATATAGACTTGATTAAAATTTAAGTCAGAGAATCAATTCCCACAATAAATGATTCAACAAACCAGCAGTGGAGGCTCAAATGAAATGCATACTAAATAATCAAAGAAAGAATGAGATTTCAAAAGGATGTTTCTTCGTATGGTGGCTAGTCGGATCATTTAAATGACGCTTTTATCCAAAGCAACGCACATGTACTGCAATAATGTAGCAATTAAGAGAACTGACATCATCTTGGGAACATGAATTTATTTGCCAACCCTTTGTGTACAACAGGGAAGAGGGACAAGGAAAGCATCAAGGATGTCTAAATGTGTCCACAGCAGTTCTGAAAACTATTCGGGCCTTGTGATTGGCTGTCTTTCACTAAAATGCATCGGGTAAACCAGCATCGGCATACAGTACTAGACACTGATTTATGTTCCAGACCCACTCCCAAAGCCGTCTATAGAAACAAAAACTCTTGATACATGATAATAATTCCATTGTTTCAAACAAAGGAGTTCCTGTTTCATTCCTCATTTCAACCAAACATGCTTATCTGATATTGTCTGGCCTTAATTGTGCATCAAACTCCTTCACAAACTCGCTCTCCAGCACCGTCCTCTCCATCACCTGCTCCTGTAATCAAATGTATTCTCTCATTGCTCCGAGCTGAATAAAACATGAAGGCTATTTGCATCTCTGAGGAAGCACGGAGAGCGCAGAAAGCTCAGAGTCTGCTTCCTGTCTCACAGCAGACAAAGTGCGTCTCATGGTCAGCGGCGGCTATATCTCCATCTCCATAAAACCCTTTTGGTTCAAGTGGAGGTTGCACACTCTGGTAGTGGAATACAGAAACACCCAGCAACCACCCTCATCCCATCTTGGCTTCCTTCTGTGCGCCACCCTTCTTGGCAATTCAGCCATCGCCTGTGCTTTGGAGATATGCAGACTTGAGATATGCCTTCGCTTTGTGTCAAGAATATATCTCAAGCTCTGCCACCTAGCTCATGGAGGAGTTATTTGTTTTGGCTTTTAAAAAGGAAAGAGGGATTTTCTTAAGGCTATAAACACGAGAGAATGCTCTGTAGAGTATTTAGATGCACATCTTTAGATTGTCAAAGACAAATCAATTAAAATAGAGAAATCACAGAGGATTTCCTGACAGCAACTTCTTATTTAATCCCTTATTCCCGTCAGGAAGGTGATGACTTTTCTTTCTAAATCCCTGGAAGAGAAATACAAACTGCTTCCTCAGAGATATGACAGCCAGTATCTGTAGAGAGTCTGCGTTATCAGATGAGCATCCCTACTATTTCCCCTTAAGACGGAAGAAATGTTTAAAATGAGGTCATCCATACAATGTCTTTCTCTGACGTCCAGTGTTTTCCACTTTGCCTGTAGAGAAGCTGCTTGTCTGATAAAAATCCGGGTAGAAATGCTGAAGATGATGAATGTGTCCCAAAGCCACTCTGCGGTGAGCACAGACGAAAAGAAGAAACTATCTCTTCACCCCTCCTCAGTCATGGACAGCTGCTGGGAGGATAAAAGGGAAAGGTAAAGGATAAAGGGCACGAGGGTGCAGCTTTATGGATTTCTTAACATGTATGTTCGGAGAGCTGTGGGGGCATTTCAAACAGTCGCAGATCCAAGAAAAGCTTAAAGATAGCCGATTTAAGAATGACAAAAAGCCAGGGTGCAAAGCGATTTTCGCCCCCAGCTGGAAACCATTATCTGGAAATGGGTCAGAGCAGGCACAAATGAGAGGAAAGATGCCAAGCTCTTCACAAGGCGGATTTCAATTTCAAAGAAAAGTACACGCGGGAAGACTTTGGAGTACACGCACTTCAACATGCCCTCGATGGAAAGACGCACAGATCCTGGTGAACATGTGCAGGCAACACAACTGCCGTGCGTGTTGAAATCACTGGAAGGCTGACTGAAAGCTTAACCTTGAAGCCGAGTGAAGCAACTCAAGATTTAAAGGTGCTTTATGTTCAAGTGCGTGTACTCCAAAGTCTTCTCCACTGTACTCCCACTATATGAAAGAACTGCCCAACATAAAGGAAGAGAGAGCTTCGTGTTGTACATTCGGTCTCCAAGGAGGAAAGAGTGAGAAGTGTTTGGCATTTCAAAAGTGACGCTTCCACACATTCTATGAAAAGGGCAGAGTTGCAAAGACAGTATTCACACTGTGCATGAAATACAACCTTGTGATTAGCATGAGTATAGAACACGGGCTTTTACATTTTCTTAAGCACTTAAATCATTGTTAAAGATCAGAAATTATAGTAAGGTTTTCACGGTTTTCTCACTGAATCTTTGTGATTTATTCGTATGCCGGCAGGCCGAAGAGCTGCGGCTGGAACTCCTCCATGCTCCTGAGTCGCAGCGTGGCCTCCTGGGTAAGACTGGGGTCCAGGTTGTCGTCGGGGATCATCACCACCTGCATCCCCGCCGCCAGCGCCGCCTTCACACCATTAGGAGCGTCCTCAAACACCAGGCACTGAGGAAACAGAATGATATCATCCTATAAGCCCATTAGGTGGACAGCATTTCACCCTGAGCGCTGACACCAAAAACAAACTGAGAAATGGAAACCTTTTTCATTTCCATCGTGATTAACTTGATATTCCTCAAAGGACTGCTTACCTCTGACAGGTGCAATATCCATTTCAGGTACAATGAATGCTTCCTGCAATTTCCTCTGCTGTGTTTATGTTTTCAGTCATTGCACTGAGGATCTGACACATTGCATATCAAGAAGATGCATGCCATATAATCCAGCTTGATGTTCTAATAACGCTCAGGCATGGCAGCTGCAGACTTGAATGAAAAACTAACAGGCAGTGTTACTCTGGTTAACGAAGAAGGGGAGAGGGAATTGTTTGTTTAAGGGGAAAAGAAAAGGTTTGCCAGGAGGTTGAAAGGAGGAGCAGCAAAGACTGACGTCACAGGCCCAGAGTGAAAGGAATATTTTTTCTCTTTTCGGTGAGTCCCTTCTTTTTGGAGTTTTTTCCTCAACTGGCAGTGTTGTCGTTTGAACTGGATTAGCTTTTTTTGTGACTTTGGACTTATTATTTTTGCTTTCGTTTGGATCATTCAGCCTTAACAAGAAGACTACATTTTAAGTTGGACATTGCCTGAGAATTACTCCAGATATAATTTGTGTTTGTACTTGTGTTGGAGGAGGTGAATGGGTTTGGGCTAATCAAACTGTCTTTGTGATGCCATACTGACTGTCTAGACAGGGGTCGGCAAGCCGCGGCCCTCGAGCCGCATGCGGCCCTTTAAGCCCTCTGCTCTGGCTCCTTTGAGCTAAGACAAAAATAAGAAGGAAATAAAATAAAAGTATTTGTAGGACTATTTATATTTTCTTGCATGGTTGAAAATGTTTTGTATCTTGTATTTTGAGGTGATACTGTGACACATAAATAAAAAACAAAACGGTCAACTAAAATATGCGTCACATCCTGCTACGGTCCTGCGCTCGCGCCTTTTCTTGCAGGCGAATAACCTGACCCCCGGCTCGATGAACGAACTATGGATAAATCAAAGGAAATAAAAGTATCGGAGGAACACAGGATTTAATTCTGCTTGGACAGAGTTATATGCTTTCACAGCTAACGATGCTGGTTTACTGGTATGTTTGAAATGTAGAGAGAAGTTGTCAACGGTGCTGCAGCCTTTACGTATCGAGGAACAACAAGGGAGAGGAAGACAGCTGACGATCTTCAGTCATAATTCAATGGGGTATGTAATTTATTTCAGAAACACTTTTCGTTATATTCCATGGAATGCTCTTAACATCCCGATAGCAATGAATATATTAAATGCTTTGACAATAAATGCATAAAAAAATGTATCTCTGGAAGCCGTAGCGCTGTAAAAAGCACGACCAATAATTTTAGCCGGCCCGGCTAAAATAACTGGATGGCCTACTTGCCTGTCAGCCTTCCATCTGTGCACAAACTTATCTCGTGCCCTCATTGGTCATGCGCGTTCGTGTGTGTTGGAGGAGGGGCTCTGTAAGGAAGTCTGAAGGAAGAGGCAGATTTTTTCCGGTTGTGTATTTTCAAATTCTAGCGCACTGGAGCTGGTTTCTCCATTCTTACCTACCCTACCTTTAACTCTTTTTAGGGTGCAGCTATATGTTTTATTTATTTCAAAGTGGGCCCATTTTAATTTGATTTGTTTTCCTTCAAATGTGCAGAGGACTCCCCAAGTGCTGTGTTTAATTTATTTTAAAGTAGGCCTGTGTATTATTTTTAATTCTCCTTATAGGAGTTCTTTGTTTCTTATTAGAGGTTAACAGTTTTATATAATGTAATAAATAGCCTAATAAATGCAAAACAACTGTAGTTTTTGTCTGATATAACAATAAATATAACTTTATAAGCTATCAAGCTATGAAATATGTTTTGCGGCTCCAGACAAAAAATGTTTTTTGGAAAATGGAGCAAAATGTATGAAGGTAGATATGTTGCAAAATGCGAGAACGTTTAAAACCTGATGTGAGCACTTGCAGAAAACAAATATCAGCTTGTGTGCACACATTTACACTTGTATAAAAATATCCACTCAATTGTGAACCAAATTTACCCTTGTATAAAATATCCACACTTGTATAAAATATCCACGTAACTGTGAACCAAATTTGGAGTCACAGAAGAAAAAAAAAAGTTTTGTAGCTTGTAGAAAAAAAAATGAACATAGAAAAATACACTTGCTGAAAAATACATATTTTTTAAATATATTTTCCAGTAAAACTGCAACTTGGTTATTACAACCTCTCAAATCAGGTCTGTGGCAGTATAAATCGACGAATCTGCAGCCTTGACTTTTGCTACACGTCTTGCGATAAATGTGTCGCAAAAGTAATTTTCACCTGTAGATGTGGGGGGAGGGAGGGGGGTTGGAGCGAAGGGGCGGAGCTATCAGAACGACGAGGCTCGGGTGACTGGAGACTGCGGGGCTAACGGTTCGTGTCGCTACCAGTCCGCTGACATGGCGCGTCAATCAACGGTAAGTTTTGCCCATTACTTGCCCAGTATTACTTTGAATATTATTATTGTGATTGAGGATTAAATCCGCTTTGAAGACCCCCGTTTTATATCGTGCAATTTAGCGGCAAAATAACGTCAGCTAACGCTAGCTTTGTTGAGTTTATGCTAGCTAAACAAGTAGTGGCTGTAGTCTACAGCAGTCATTAATATATTATAGCCTACTGCTTTGGCACTAACGGTGGTGTTTTTAAAGCCTTTGTAAATTATCCATGCTATTTTCTATTTAGCTAACGTCGAAGTAGTGTATGTGAAATGAATCTCACAATAAGAT